TTTTGAATTATTTTGAATTATTTCAAGACGCAGCCGAGGTTGTTCTGGGGAGGCCGTTGTTTGACATGGAAGATGATGAACCAATCGCTACATTCCTGGATCAAGTCTCTTTTTTATTAACTCCTCAAGTGCCTGGAAGGAATCCAGGGTGAGGGCATACAGTGTGATCTGCTGCCAGAAAACATATTTTTCGGGGAAAACACCATGATTGTGGACAACATATCCGAGATGGCGGTGCTCAAAGACTTTGCCGCTGACCAAGAGCTGCAGACCCCGATCGGATACAGGGCCCCAGAACTGTGTCAGCAATCTGGTGCACATACTTGTATCTCAAATATCTGGTGCATTGGCTGCACAATGGGTAACTATTTTTTTCTTGAAAATGTTTCTCTCTTTTCTTCAGGTTTCTTTGTTTGTAGTTTGGATTTTTGAATCGGGCGCTTTTTTTAAATTTTTTTAATTTTTTAATTTTTTAATTTTTAATTTTTAAATTACGCTAAATTGGATTATTAATCAAAGGGGGCTATTGTAATAATTTTAGTATTTCTAACGAAGGCCATGTTTATTTAATATTAGTAAGGATTTGGGGGTTTTGGATTTTTGGGTGGGTGGGTGATAAGGATTTGGGGTTTTTTTTATTTTTGGGGTTTTTGGGTGGGTGGGTGATAAGGATTTGGGGTTTTTGGGTGCGCAAAGAAAAAAACGAGGGTGTCGAAAGGGTGGGCTGGGCTGGGCTGGGCTGGGGTGGGGGTGCGCAAGGCTGGGTGTTTGTATTTTTTGAATTTTGAATTATTTTGAATTATTTCAAGACGCAGCCGAGGTTGTTCTGGGGAGGCCGTTGTTTGACATGGAAGATGATGAACCAATCGCTACATTCCTGGATCAAGTCTCTTTTTTATTAACTCCTCAAGTGCCTGGAAGGAATCCAGGGTGAGGGCATACAGTGTGATCTGCTGCCAGAAAACATATTTTTCGGGGAAAACACCATGATTGTGGACAACATATCCGAGATGGCGGTGCTCAAAGACTTTGCCGCTGACCAAGAGCTGCAGACCCCGATCGGATACAGGGCCCCAGAACTGTGTCAGCAATCTGGTGCACATACTTGTATCTCAAATATCTGGTGCATTGGCTGCACAATGGGTAACTATTTTTTTCTTGAAAATGTTTCTCTCTTTTCTTCAGGTTTCTTTGTTTGTAGTTTGGATTTTTGAATCGGGCGCTTTTTTTAAATTTTTTTAATTTTTTAATTTTTTAATTTTTAATTTTTAAAACGAGGAAAAAAAAATCGTCACTCTGAATGAAATTAATGATCAGATCAAGCAAATAACACATTTTAGGATTGTGTTCCAAGCCACTCTGCATCCAGGCATTTTTGGAGTCGTGTTTGAGGC